GTATTTTACTTGATCACCTGTAAGATAAATCTTTGATGAATCTACAAAAACTTTACCCAAAATTGATTATAATTATAATTATAAAGTTGAAAAATTCACGTACAATTTTCAAAAAATTTTTATGAAAACTTAAATGGATAGTTTGAGAAAGTTTGTAATGAAAGTTTGGTGTTACAGATCATAATATTTACTTTCGTAACTCGATTTTAATAGCAAACGTCCACATGCAATTACTTCTCTTAATATGAATGCGAGGTAAGATATGGGCAAGAATTCCAAATAAATGTCCAATGCTTTAAAATCATGGAAGCAGAGAACACACGGATCTCTTTATTCATGGGAAGCCAAAAAAAATTTGCACACACACGGAAGCATTGATATTTGATTTATCTATAATTTTAAGAAGCATATGTTGAAATGTAATCTTTTTTATAAACAACGAAAAAGTAAAGCGCAATTTGTTTCACTAAACGGCGTCGTGTTCAGAATCCAAAGTAGAAAAACTTTTTACAGAATTAGCTAATTTTGAGCAATTTAATAAGTTTGCATAATATTCGGTATATATACTGTAGTTATAAAATGTGTTTATTTCTATTCTGGTAGGTTCCGAATTGATTTTCATGAATTTTATTTTTAACCAATCAAAAAAAATAAAATCCCTTTGACATTTGTGTCTTTTGCAAAAGAGGCACACAACGTTTATTAAATATTTTCATGAATACCAAGAAAACCAAAAGGGTCCGACTGTAGGTATTCTGAAGTGGTTAGCTCAAATCACGAAACAAAATGTTGGTTTTTTTTCTTATTTTTTTTTTTTTTTTTTTTTGAAAATGACGTCGTACACCATACATTGGATCCAAATAATGAACCTTATAAGATTTAATGCAGAAATTCGGGGTTTTGGTCATTATTTCCCTATATTTAGGTAATGAATTTTTATAAAAAAAAATAAAAAAAAAAAAAATGTCATGCTCATATTCTTAAAATCAAAGGATTTTTATTTTAACTTAATTATATATATTATTAGCTCGGTGCTTGTGAATTATTTATTATTCGTCAAATGTCGATTATGATTTAAATTATGATTAGGGAACTATTTACCAGCCCCGATTTTTGATCTTGTATTATGGATGAAGAAAATGTTTTGAGTAAATTTTCGATAATAAATTAAAAAAATAAAAATAAAAATAAAAATTGGTTTGGACTATCGTGAGAGATGATTGATTGCTTTAAAAGAAATTATTCAAATCATATGTGTTAGGTTATTACCGAATTACTTGTTTTCGCCACAACATTTGACGAATTTCGATTTAAAATTGCTGTACCTCAATGTTGATTTATTTTGTGGCAACGAGGCTTTTTAAAATACTTGACTAAGAAAGCAATCAAGAATCTCACATACAGAGTAGACACACCATAAAATATATTATAAAAATGTGAGTAATTGCGTCATCTTCGTCAAAAGTCAAGTAGAACGTATGCAGTCGTTTGTGTTTTGACTTTGGCCACGATGAGCTTTCGATTCGTTGATTTCGTGCACCCTATTTACCATTTAAACTTCCAGGGTTATGGAAGATATGGGAAACAGGGAAGAACGTTCACAGAAAAGAACAAGAGCACTCTCAGGAGTAAATAAATACGCCAAGAATTTATAGTTTCTATGATTTTTACGAAGGAAGATGCATAACCAATTCTTCATTACGAACCAGTTGTCCTTTATCATAGAAATCGCTTCATGGTTTTCCATTCCAACTGGCCCTATGGCCACGAAGAGCTTTAAATTCCCAGATTATTTTTTACACTAGAGCACCTTCGAATACACAACGACTCGACAAATAGCTCAGTAAGACTGCTCATCCTTTATTCAGCTCTTCCTTCCTTTATACAGAAGATGAAATTTTTAGAATGTTTAATAGAAATGTTTCAATCTCTACGACTTGGTTTTTATCGTCCCTTTTTTCTAATTTTTCTTTTCAATAGTTCGACGTTGATGTAATTAAAAATAATTTTTCGTCAAATGAACGGGATGAAATTTTCAAAAAAAAAGATATTTCCTTTTTATAGTGTTTTATTCTGGTGATTAGTCGATCTAAACGGGCTAGTAATATAGTCACGGGAGTAAGTCATAGTTTTGTTTTTACGTTTTTACTTTTAATAAACTGATGACAGTACCACATCGTTAAAAAAAAAAAAAAAAAAAAAAAAAAAATAGTTTTGTACTTCAGTTCTTTCTTCCATGTATTTATAAACAATTTAAAATATAAGCAGAGGTTGTTATTGAGTAAAAATGAAGTAATGTTGACGCTAAATTTATTTAATATTATCAAATTAATCAGTGTTGCCTCAACATCGCGCTCTATACTTTCACCATGTTAATATATAAACTAATAACTGCCAATCAATAAATCTTTATTTAATTAAACAACGCAATTACGGAAATTAAAAAAATAAACGAAATTACAAATATAAATTAAAATGTTAAAACGGCGAAAATGAAAATATCGCGAAAGGATAAAGGAAAGTTTTTAAGGTGTATACATGCAAATAAAAGAGGCGAGCGTAGAATGATGAGCTGTTTAAGGATTTCCAGCTCGTATTTATAAAAAAATAATTATTAGGAAAGCCTGGCATCCTAACAACCTTGGCACTGGAAAAATGATCTTCAAGCGAATATCGAAAACAATTTACAGTACATACGAAATTATGGTTATTTTGAGAAATTTGTTAATATATGCACATGATAATTTCGAATTTGTTGCATTAATCCATTAATTTCTTGTTATTGAATTTTGAAATCTTGATGTCGTAAGTTTGTATATAATTCAACATATTTCGATGTATGTCCATAATCACATGTATATTTTACAAAATTATTAAGCCTTTTTTTTTTGTTGCTATTTTGATAAAATAAAATTGTTTTTAAATTTCTATATTTTAGACGTTTTAAATGTTAAGTGTGAAGCTTAGAATAATATTAAATTGTTAGATTAAGGAAAAAAATGATTACTAAGAAAGGTGAATTTTATTGTCGGTTCCTTTTTTATCACTAGTGTTAGCGTTATTAAACCATGAAATATATTAGTTATTTCGCCGATCTCAGGGATCACTCTCTGATTTCGCTATTACATATTTTGTATAGGACAACTTTGCATCACTTTCGTCATCTTTTTTTATATGTTCTAAAATACTTTAACCATATGATCTATAATAAAATTACATCCTCCAAACTTATTCATCATAATAGTACGCATAGATTGTTATTTGGAAATAAATTAATTCAAACCTTTTAATTCGATTCAAATACTCGGTTTGATTCGGTATTACATAAATCCGGATGCAACCGGGTTGGATGTTTGACTTAGGCCTAAACCTATTTTTAAAAACAAAACCGGTTCTAACCTCTACTAAGAGCCGTCCTAAAAAAAGATTTTAATGTCAATTTTATTAGCACAATTTTTCTTGTGTAGTTGGTTATCACAGTCAATGTCTTTATGGGACGCGATAAAGGATTGAAGGTTAAGATAGGAATATTTTCAATTATAGGATTTCGGAAGTCTTAACTCTCCACAATCAAGCCGGACTTTTTGATATTGAAAATAATTAATTAAATAAAAACAACAATTTACCAAAATTATCCTTACAATTATTATCATTATACAACCTATATTAAATTTAAAATTATGTTATCGGAAATTGAAAATTGACGATACAAATACGTCTAATGATTAAATGATGCAGTTTACTTTATGGACATAGCCAAGATTTTAATTTATGTATATTTGTGATATATATTGACATTGCGAAATTGTAAGCGCCAATAAACACTGATTAATTTGATATTATTAAATAAATATTTTGTCATAATTACTTTATTTTTATTCTATTAATACCTTCTGCTTACATTACTAAATTGTTTATAAATAAATAAACGAAAGAACTGAATACAACAGTAGTTGGAAATTTTTGTCGTGCTTTTTTGGGGGAAATGATCTGCATCAAATTTCATTTGTCACAGCCTATACAAATACGGCTCGGCTAAATAAATAATGAGTTATTGGTTATCCGACATAAACAATAACGATAATAACCAATAACTAAGTTATTGCGTCAGTCACACACGATCATGCTTTAAATTATATGAAAAGTATTCTATTCTATTTGATATTTAGCCGTTGGCAAAAAATATCAGTCAAGACCCTAATAGACTGACCGTAAAATTCATAATTTATAATTGACAATTTAACACTTGAAAATAACAAATTCAGCGGTTTCTAATGCTTATATTATTATTTTTTATAGCGGATAATGTGAATTATACTACTTTTCGCTATAAGCTTTGGAAAGGCACCATCTTACATAGTGAATGCAGAATGACAGCTAATGCATGAAATAAAAACAACATGATTAATGATTTGGGACTCCATGATTTTCTCAAAGGAACTTCGAATTGAAAGTGAGTTAATTACATATCGATTATTTAAACCAATTTTAAATGGCCGTCCACATGAAAGTTACAAACATACTAAATTAAAATCATTATGATTAGTTGTTAACAAAAATTTGCATTGCTGTAAGTCCCAAACCTAAGATTTTGATTTTTAAATTAAAAAATAACACGCGGTCAGACCATGCATTATCGACATTTATCATTTGTACAACAGTATTTCCCGCTCAATTTTTCCCTGCATTAAAGAAAATTATCTAGAAAATCGTTTTATTAATTTGTAAATTAAATTTTGTGATACACAACATTTCTTGGGATCGTGAGCTGTAATGTGGTGTGTCAACTGTGGCACTAACTATTATTAATATGATTTTTGTACTCTAAATAAAGGCGCATTTTCGTTTTGAGAGATTTAATTATATAATTATATACGCCACTCCAGTAAATATTATAAATAAGCTTCGTCGGCAAGTTGATTTTTTTCACCCACAAAAAAAAAAATTTTATTTTGTTTATATAAAAAAAAAAGTATTAACATTAATAATTCATTAGAAAAATGGTTCAAAATGATCAATATCCCATTAACTGTAAAGAACCTCGAACCGAAACTTATGAAGGCAAGGATCAATTTGAATGTAAGTGTGTTGAATGGATTAGAGATTTTGGCGATTTTAATTCATTTAATTTAAATCATTAATAAAATTATTTTTTTTTATTTAATATTATTTATAGTTAATTGTGGAAAAAAAATAAAAAATTTCTTTTCCTGGCGTATGAACTCTATAAGAGCTAATATCAAGATGATCAAGAAGATGAAGAGAAAACATCAGATGCAAATATCGAAAACATTTTACACACAAAGTTATGGAGTTTCCCGAAATTATAATATATTTAAATGAACAGTTAGTCATTTTGCCAGGTTGTCAAGGTGCAAGGTTGTCACGGTGCCAGATTGTTACGATGCCAGATTGGCAGGATGACAAAATAGCAGGAAATCAGGCTGTCCTAATTCAAGCCGGAAATCCTTAAACAGCTCAATATACCACGCTCGCCCCTTCTTGTATTTACATACATACACCTTAAAAAACCTTCCTTTAATCCCTTCGCGATATTTTCGCTTTCGCCGTTTTAACATTTTAATTTTATATTTGTAAATATGTTTTTTTTTTAATTTCCAAATTTTCTTATTATTAAATCACTCAATTTTATTATTTGCATAGTTTTGATTAAATAGCATTTTAGTGATTGGCATTTATTTAGTTTAATGTATTGACATTGCGAAAGTGTAGAACGCCGACATTGAGGCAACACTGATTAATTTAATATTATTAAATAAATTAACGTCAACATTACTTCATTTTACTCAATAAAAATCTTCTGCTTACACTTAAAATTCTTATAAATACATAAACGAAAGAACTGAATACAACACTATTCAAATGATTACGTCAATTTCATGCATTAAAAGCATCTAGATCATATAATTAGATTAAAAATTATTTGACAAAATTAAAATATTTTACTCTTTATGACAGGTTTATGCAGAATAAAAAATTTCACCAATAATGATTAAACTATTTTCATAAAATTGTATTGACATGTTTCGTAACATGTTTATTACTTTTTTTGCGTTTTTTAATATAACTTTTTGTAAAGAAAAAAAAAAAAAGTAAAGTAAAGAAAATGTCTGCAAAGTGATTTACGGGTCGGGTATTAAATTCTAATTGTGAATTTCCTTTTACATCTATTGTGTATAAAATATCCTCATCTTTATTTTTGTAGTCGTTATAATTTTTGGACGTTTCTTTAAAACTACTTGTTCAAACTACAATAAGTGGAGATGCTACAAATGCATATTATTGGACAATAATTTATTACTATTATTAATGTTTGTTTACCTACATCACTGTATGACATATGCGGGTCGGAACAATAAACATTATATATTAAATTTTTGGTAAGTGCGTGTATATGATATTACGGATTTATTTATATCTTGTACCAATTATTAGTTCTGGTCAGTATTACAAACAAATGAAACAAATGATAATACATCACGTGAAATGAATTTGGCGCAATATATTTTATCCGTATTGTAGGTTGCTTCTCAAAATTTTAATTTTTTTTTTGCAAGGTTCAAATACTATTTTATTAAATGGTCGGAAAACCGAAGAAAAAAATTTTAGAAAACTTGTATAGGTAATTGAGGAAAAAAAATCATGGTTCAAAAACGAAATTGTTAGCATTTTCGTTTATTATTATTTAGTAAAAGAGCTGTGATCAATTATTAAAATATAATGATAATATCGAGAAGAAGTGAAGAATTTGTTAACGTTATTCAGCCCAAACACTAAAATTTATTTTTTGAAGAGATTTTTTAAATCTAACATTTCTTATTGTAGATCGGACCTTTCAGAGAAATATTATTTTTTTAGTTTGATAAAAAAGATTATTTTGGTTTTGAATAATAATTAATTTTTTTTTTTTATTACGTAACCGAAAATTGTAGTTAAGAAGGAGATATCGAAACTAGAGAGTATTTCGAGTGGGTTTTTATAATTAAATTGTTGAGAATAAAATTCCAGATTTAACCCGTATTTTACTTGATCACCGGCAAGGATAAATCTTTGATGAATCTACAAAAACTTTATAATTATAATCAATTACAGGTAAAGTTGAAAAATTCACAAGTGCAATTTTCAAAAATTTTAATGAAAACTATTAAAAAAAAAAATGTGTTAGAATAATATCTTTAAATGGATAGTTTGAGAAATTTTGTAATGAAAGTTTGGTTTTATTTAAGCACATGATTGATTTTCTAGGTTTTTTAAAATTCTTTGTGAAAAATTATTTGGTTTTCAATCAAATGACAAACATCATGAATAATTTATTCAATTTAGTTTTAAAGAAAGAAATTAGAAAGAAAGTAACTAGAAATACTGAAGAAAACAAATTCGGAGGCGTAAAATATTTGCTTTCGTTTCATTCCGTTTATAATAAAAAAAGTACAAACAACAAAGTACATTATATTGGATAAATTAAAATTTAAAATGTATACAAAAAGTTGCAAATGCGGCGGCATAAGCCACTTTCTATATGGAATGATAACATAAAATAAATACCAACATAAAAAAATTTTAAATTATGATTTCCAACTAATTTGATGAGATTGCAATTCTAAAATAAATTTATCCAGGAAACTCAATTAAATGCAAGAAATGAATTTCAATTATTTGAATGGATCCCTTATCTTTTAAGATATATAAAATATCTCGCTAGTGGTGAAGAAAGATCATGGGAACGTGGAAAAAGGGGGTCATTAAGGATGTAGCTCTCAAGAGTATAAACGATCCTTCAATATTCAAGATTTTTTGAATGAAGATTTTCAATTTACGATTTATTATTATTATTGTTAAATGTACTAGCTTTTAATTAAATTTGAATCTCTAGTGGAATACATATTTATAATTCATGTATTCATTTAGAAAATAATGCGTCTTTCTCATCTTTTATGGAATAACTAAAGATCCTACAACGTTGAATTTTATGATCTTATTAAAAGAAATGAAAGTTAGCTTAAGATCTAACCTCATAATATAAAAAAATATAATCCGAGCGATAAATGTGGTAAATTACTTCACATTGCAACGTCACTATCTGATGTAATTTATTTTATGGGGATTTTCATATGATACCTACTTTACAAATGATTTAGGATTGAGAAGATCACCTGATCACTCGAATAATGTGATGCGATCTTTAGAGTAGTTCCTTAGAGGTTTTGCTTGGCAAGCCATATACCAAAGCTTCAGACATATATTCTTCATGTGGGATTCACATATTGCTCATGATTTCCAATTATCTATAGAGATTTTTCAAGGTCTAAGACAAAAAATAACAATTCTGATTATGTAGAGTTGTTTGGAGTTGATCCAAACAAACGACCTAGTGCTGAAGATTTGATACAAAATTCAAAATTTTGGTTAAAATATACTTGCACCAGGTAATGCTTTATGCAATTTTTTTAAAAAAATCGATGGTAAGAATTTATATTATTATCGTAGAACTGAACATACCATTCAAAATCATTCATCATCTTGCTATACAAGCGATTATTACAAATTGAGAAACCCTAATTACAAATACTTCAATAAAAGTTACCAAAATTTTTCATCAGCACTATTGTTGTAATCAGTCCTTTCGTTTTTGCATTTATAAACAATCAGAAGATTTTCATTGAGTTAATATTGAAAATGAAGTAATGTTGACGCTATATTTATTTAATAATATCAAATTAATCAGTGTTGCATCAACGCCGGCGCTCTACACTTTCGCAATGTCAATATATTAAACTTAATAAATATCAATCAATAAAACTCGACTTAATTAAAATTGAATCATAAAATGATAAGAAAATCGGGATTAAAAAATGAAGTTACAATAATAAATTGTAATTTCTGATTTTATGCAATATTTAATTTATGCGCGCGCGAATTTTTTATTAAAAATATATTTGAATGTTTATTACATCAAAAGGTATAAAATATATAAAAAAATAAAATATTTAAAATATTTATATTAGCGAATTAGGTAAGGAAGTCATCAGATCATTTCGTATATATGTTTTGTTCACTGAATATCATATAAGGAATTTGTATACAGTGGTGTGCAAAAAAATGAACTTTTTTTCGAAAAATGATCAACTGGCGTAACTTACCCAATTTTGGTCAGAATTACACAAATAAAT